CCCTCATCAGGGGCCTCGTGTATAGAATGAAAAAGACATGGATGCTCTTCGTGCAGCAGCAGCAGCTGCTGCACCAGCTGCTGCGAGAGCTCGTGTATTAGGGGGCAGAGAGAGGCGTCTAGGGCCTCAGCTAATACCAATGCAGATGCAGGCAGCAGAGGAGAAGGTATTCTTTGTGATAGAGGTTTTTTATAGTGATTGAAATTCTTTGTTTCTGCTGCTGTTTCTACTTCTAGTTCTGCTGCTGCTGCTGCTGCTGCTGCTGCTGTTGATGCTGGTGATGCTGGTGATGCTGCTGCTGGCGATGCTGGTGATGCTGCTGGTGATGGTGCTGCTGCTGAGGCAGCAGACACCTCAGCAGCAGCAGCAGCAGCTGCTGCTGCTGCTGCTGCACCACCAGCAGCAGCAGCAGCGTGGGGAGCTGTCATATTATGCTGCTGGATATAAAGAAAAGAAATTATAAATGAATGCAGAAATGCAGGCACAGCAGCAGCAGCAACAGAGCCCCCTTCTGCTGCTGCTGCTGCTGCTGCTGCTGCGACGGGGGGCCCCCCGAGGAAGCTGCAGGGGGGGCCCCCTAGGGTACTCCCCTGATCCACGTTTTTATCGAGTTAAATATAAAAAATATATTTATTTTAATTAATATTTATAAAATAAAAAGCATTACTAGTTTATATTCCCTCTGCTGCTGCTGCTCTCTGCCTTGCGGATGCCGCTGCTGCTCGGGGGGCCCCAGCAGGGGGGCCCCCCTACCCTGTGCTGTTAGCTGTATAATACCTCTTTAGATACGTGAAAATAATTATATTTAATATTTTTAATGTATTAAAACTTTTTTTTCCGGGGTTCAGCAGCATATGGCCGGGTGTATACACACCACCTGCTGCTGGGGGGCCCCCAGGCGCAACAGCATCGATAGGGGTACTGCTGCAGCTGCTTACACCTTAAGACAGAAACCCCAAACTTATTCACTCTGCTGCTGCTGCTGCTGCTGCTGTTGCTGCTGCTGCTGCTGCTGCAGTGCAGCAGCCTCGCTGTGCTGCTGCTGTGCAACCTCTTCTTACCGGCAGCAGCAGCAGCACAAGCAGCAGCCGCAGCTGCTCAGGCAACTAAAACAGCAGCAACAGCAACTTATGCTGCTGCTGCTGCTGCTGCTGATGCTGCTGCAGACAACTGCAGCAGCAGCCTTGCGGTACCCTCCTGCGTTGCCTTACAGCTTTATTGGGGGGCCCCCGGGGCCCCCCCCCCCC